GTGTGTGGGAGTGTGTCCAAGTGTTTGGACCTGGGGTTGTCAACCGTGAGAAAATGTGGGGTTCCTGGCTGCTTTTCTTGGGGTCTTGAGAGCTTAGTGCCAACACCAGACACTCCCTCTATTTTTGTCTCTGAAGTCTGGCAAAGAAGTTAAGAAGAGATCACTTGGGGACAAAAGGAGACCTCAGGACTCTTCCCATTATCCTTCTGTGTCCAGGGGAGAAATTCTGAACCATGACTCAACAGCCACTTCGAGGGGTCACCAGCCTGCGTTTCAACCAAGACCAAAGTGAGAGAAGCTTAAACTTGAACTCTTGTGGGAGGGAGAGAAGGGTCACAGGTAGACCACAGGCCCCACTTCCTCCCTTGGTATTCTGAGCTGACCCCGATTCCTTCCATCCCCAGGCTGCTTTTGCTGTGCCATGGAGACAGGTGTGCGCATCTACAATGTGGAGCCACTGATGGAAAAGGGGCATCTGGGTGAGCCACCTGGTGGGGGTAGGGCAGTGGGCGGAAGGGCTGGATTGAGCACTGGCATCTACCTCCACTGACACCCTGGTCCCTGTCCAGACCACGAGCAGGTGGGCAGCATGGGCCTGGTAGAGATGCTGCACCGCTCCAACCTGCTGGCCCTAGTGGGCGGTGGTAGCAGTCCCAAGTTCTCCGAGATCTCAGGTAAGTGTCCTCATCCAGCCCTTGACCTAGATTCCCCAGATTCCTGCCCTCCCACAGGAACCCCAAGGCACTGGCAGAGTAAGATGTTGGGACTCTGAGGTGAGGCCTAAAGTTTTGCAGTTATGGATCTTGAAGCTTGAGGAGTTTGGTGTTTTGTTTTCATTAAAAAAACACACACACACACACTGGCCGGGTGTGGTGGCGCACACCTGTAATCCCAGCACTCGGGAGGCTGAGGCAGGAGGATCTCTGTGAGTTTGAGACCAGCCTGGGCTACATAGTGAGTTCCAGGTCAGTCTCAACTACATAGTGAGACCCTGTCTCAAAAAAACAAAACAAAAAAAAACAACCAAACAAATAAAAAAAACACTTTTTCAGGCTAGGGATATAGTTCATTGGTACAACACTTGCCTGGCATGTGAGCCCCTGGGTCTGATATCCAGCACTGCAAAAAGATAAGACAAAATAAAACAAAACTATCAAATGCCTCTGTATGCCATATCCTTCCCTGTGGAGCATTAGCTGTGAATCTGGACGATTCTATGCAGTTTGCGTGTATTCATTCATTTAATCTTCAGGTAATTATGTCCCAGGCCTGGCATCTGCTGAGCATACACTCTACCCTTGAGCTAAACCCCCTACTCCACTATCCTCATTTTTACCAGTGAGAAAACTGAGGGTTTTTTTGTTTTGTTTTGTTTTTCGAGATGGGATTGTGTGTAGTCCAGAGTGGTCTCAAACTGGTAGAGATCCACCTGCCTCAGCCTTCTGAGTGCTGGGATTACAAACATGAACCACGATGCCCAGAGAGTAAAGTTAAGTGATTTATTCAAAAATCACACAATCAAGCCAGGCATAGTAGCACACATCTGTAATCCATGAATTCAGGAGGCTGAGGCAGAAGGATCGCCTCCAGTTCAAGGCCAGGCTGGGCTCCACAGTGAGTTCAGCCTAAACTGCATATTCAGACCCTGTCTCACCCCCACCCCCACAAAAAAAGATGACACAATCAAAAGGTTTTCAAATTTTGAAACTGTCTAATAACCCCTCTTGGCTTGACTTTCATGTGCCATTGTTTTAAGGGTTTTGTTGTTGATCCCACTGAAACATTCAAGAACTGTCCTAGGTGAGTCACAGACCCTAGGATTCCTCCCAGATATCTGGGGGTATGGACTGGGACCCTGCAGGCAAAATGATTACTGAGGGGAAGTTATGGGCATGGGTGTGAGTCATTTTTCTTTTCTTTTTTTTCTCAGTACCAGGGATCAAACTCAGGACCTTGCACTTTCAAGGCAGGTGCAGTGCCACTGAGCTAAATCTCCAGCCCCTTACCTGGTCGTTAATGGGCTGTAAGGTCCTTGGCCAGACCTCCTCTCCAATTAGACATAACAATTCTAGCACCTGTTCTCTCAGGGATTGTGTCCAGTGTTCATTCTGTGCAGGGTTCACACTGGGTGTTTAGTGAAAGGTCAAGTGAGTCGGTTAAGGTCCCATGGGGAGTAGGGGTGGATTTACTGTGTCATCAGGGCTGCCCCTCACCTTAAACTTTGGCCCCACCAACGTACCCACTTGCCCAGCAGTGCTGATCTGGGATGATGCCCGGGAAGGCAAGGACTCTAAGGAGAAGCTGGTGCTAGAATTCACCTTCACCAAACCGGTGCTGGCTGTGCGCATGCGCCATGACAAGTAAGCCTGAAGGTGACTGGGGTGGAGGCTAGGAGGTCCCCATAGTGAGATTAGTCCTGCCTGGGCAGCCCACTCTCCCCTCACAGTCTCCTGTGTTGTGATATCCACAGGATCGTGATTGTGCTGAGGAACCGCATCTATGTGTACTCCTTCCCTGACAATCCCCGAAAGCTGTATGAGTTTGACACTCGGGACAACCCCAAGGGTGAGGACTCAGATGTGCATGTGTAAGGGTGAGACCATGACGGAAAAGGCGCAGAGATGAGAGAAAGGGAGAAACACATACCCAGAGACACTGGAAAGGGCAGGGAGAGGCTTTGTGCACAGAGATGCTCAAATGGACTGAAAGATACAGTCTATTCCTCTTTCCTTCTCCTACCCTTGGCTCTGCCCCACCGACAGAGCAGAAACACCTAGTGAGGACATGGTGGAGCATGGAAAGCAGAACTGGGCCTCCTGGCTGGCTCAGCAGCTTATTAGAATCAGCTGCCTGGGGAAGAAGGAATTTGCCCAGCAAAGAGAAAGCCTGCCCCCCAGAGGCTTCTGTGGGTATCCTGTCATTAACCAGTCTGTCCTTTCTGAGACCTTTCCCAGCCTCTGCCTTTCCTCCACCTGCCTACCTGCCTATCCTCACATCCTAGGGCTCTGTGATCTCTGTCCCAGCCTGGAAAAGCAACTGCTTGTGTTTCCTGGGCACAAGTGTGGAAGTCTGCAACTTGTGGTGAGCCATCCAACAGACAAGGGTGGGCAGGCAGGTGGGCCAGCTCTCCCTGTGGACCCACAGCCCCTCCCCTCCATGCCATCCCAACCCTGAACTGCTGTGTCCTACCTCAGGACCTGGCAAGCACAAAGCCTGGCACCTCATCTGCTCCATTCACTATCAATGCACATCAGAGTGATGTGGCCTGTGTGTCCCTGAACCAGCCAGGCACTGTAGTGGCCTCGGCTTCCCAGAAAGGAACCCTCATTCGCCTTTTTGACACCCAGTCCAAGGAGAAACTAGTAGAGCTGCGCCGAGGCACTGACCCTGCCACTCTATACTGGTAAGCACAGGATATGTGTAGTGGGCTAGTGACCCCATGGCACTTGTCATGTGGGGCGTCACTGCTGGTCTCTCTTCCAGCATTAACTTCAGTCATGACTCCTCCTTCCTCTGCGCTTCCAGTGATAAGGGTACTGTGCATATCTTCGCTCTCAAGGATACCCGCCTCAATCGCCGCTCTGCGTGAGTACCCCTACCCTACCCTGTAGTGCCCCATGCCCCTGCCCATGTACCATGTCAAGCTTACCCAGTGCTGCCTACAGGCTGGCTCGAGTGGGCAAGGTGGGACCTATGATTGGGCAGTACGTGGACTCTCAGTGGAGCCTGGCGAGCTTCACTGTGCCTGCTGAGTCGGCTTGCATCTGTGCCTTCGGTCGCAATACTTCCAAGAACGTCAATTCTGTAATTGGTGAGTGGGAATAGCCTATTGGTTGGGAAAGGGGTCTGCACTGGCAAAAGCCTGCAGGTTGGACCTAAAAGAATTTGAGGGCGGGCCGGGAACCTAGCTCAGTGGTTCTGCCACCTGCCTTCCAAGCACGCAAGGACCCAAGTTCAATCCCCAATACCAAAAAACAAAAACAAAAACAAAAAAAAAGTTTTTTTTTGAGGGCCATCAGAAGCCTGAGGGAGTTGGAGTGTATGGCTTAACTCCATCAGTAAAGGGTATGGCACTTGGGCAAAGGCCTAGAGGTAAGCCTTAGGCCACGGGACACTTGAGAGGATGGAGTTTATGGCTGTGGCAGCCCTTAACTTTTTACCACCACCCCCCCCAGCCATCTGCGTAGATGGAACCTTCCACAAATATGTCTTCACTCCCGATGGAAACTGCAACAGAGAGGCTTTCGACGTGTACCTTGACATCTGTGATGATGATGACTTTTAAGGACCCTGGGGGCTGTGTTAGGAACCTGCAGTAACAGACTGCAGAGTTGAGCCTTGGGTGTGGGGAAGTGCTGTGGAAGCCACCAACCAGCAAGCACTAAAGAGGCTTGTGTCCACTTTCCACTCAGCAAAGCTATGTCTAAACAAACAGCTCACTTCCCTCAAGCACTTTTTGATGACTGTATGCTGGAAGAGCTAGGCCACAGATCCAGGGAGGTAGCAGATCCCTGGGGCCCCAATCCTGGAGAAGACAGCCAGGGACCCAGAGGAAATATCCTAACCCTACCTTGAGATTTTAAAACGCTTACCAGGAGAGATGATTTCTGATGTGATGAATATGAATAAAAGGCCCCTAATGGCATTTATGGCTTGACCTCAAGGGCGGGGCGTGGAGTTTCCATGAGAGGTGTGACCCTCTTGGAGTCTGACAGGAAGTGGAGTCCAGCTCCGATCCTTCTGAGAGTTCTGGCTGTTTTATCTCTGCTTGTTGGCTACTGGGTACTTGAACCGCCGGCACCGCCCAGTGCAATCCACCCCGGAGTCTGTAGAAGTTTGAGGAAGTTCCGAGGCCCTCGTGGCGTGGCAGAGGCTTCATTTCCCGGCAGCCCTTGCTGCCCCGCTGTACGGCGCGTTACTTGCCTTCCGGATCACGTGCTAGCTGCGTCTGCGCAGTCCACCTAAGAGGAGGGCTTAATCATTTGGCCCAGACTCCATTTCCCGGTGTGCCTCGCGGTACCGCGGGGTGTGATGGGTGTTGTAGTCCGGCCGCCCTTCGGGCTGGTCCAACGACCGACAGGATGTCGGAGGTGCGGCTGCCACCGCTACGCGCCCTAGACGACTTTGTTCTGGGGTCGGCACGTCTGGCAGCTCCGGATCCATGCGACCCGCAGCGATGGTGCCACCGCGTCATCAACAATCTTCTCTACTACCAAACCAACTACCTTCTCTGCTTTGGCTTCGGTCTCGCTCTAGCCGGGTGAGGGAGGAAGGGAGGAAAGGGGCGGGTGGGTGGGTGGCCGGGAACAGCAGGGCCATGG